CTCTCTCTCTCTCTCTCTCTCTCTCTCTCTCTCTCTCTCTCTCTCTCTCTCCTCTCTCTCTCTTTGTGTATATATATATCTCTTTCTCTCTCTCTATCTATCTCTCCTTTTCTCTCTCTCACTCTCTCTCTCTCACACACACACTCACACACATACATACACACACACACACACACACACACACACACACACACACACACACATACACACACACACACACATATATATATATAACAATATATATATATATATATATATGTATGTATACAAACACTCACACAAACACACACATGTTTGCACACATAATATTATTAGGTTTGAAAAACCTATTTGGAGTAAATCAAACAGATCAAACAGACAGAAATATAGATTACAAAGAAATAAATACCCACCTGTCAGAAGTGATAGTTTCATTTGATGGTGTCGCCTTTTTTTACCACCACTACACCGCCAGGGAAGTAAAATTAAATGACTCTTCTACCTTCCAGTTTTTATTTTGAGCTGAAATTTAGTAATAATATTTTTTTCCGTTTGTTTTCTTAGACAAAGTGTTCTGCAAATTAACACTAGAGTTAACTTACAGTAATAAAGGTTTACCATTAACAGAAAGGAAGCGGAGGGCACGATGTTAGTTCTCGTTGTTGTATTCTGACATTGTAGAGGGGGAAAGTAGTTCATTTGTTGTTTGTGATATTTCTCAGATGAAAGAACAAACGGTAGTCCAATCAAATAAGTGGTTGATTACATGTTTTACAGTTTGAAGTGAAGTGAAGGGGGGGGGGGGGGTTCTTCCTCGGTAATTATCGTTTTTTACTCAATAACATATGTGATTACGTTTGTTTGTTGTAGCTGTTGATTTTCTGTATGCATGACAGACAGACAGACAGACAGACAGACAGACAGACAGACAGACAGACAGACAGACAGACAGACAGACAGACAGACAGACAGACAGACAGACAGACAGACAACAGACAGGCAGACAGACCGTCAGACAAAAGGATAGAGTCACAGGCAGGGAGACAGACAGAACAGAGAGCATGGATGAAGAGAGCATTCACACGATGTAGCCAATGTTCAGTGCGGCTCGACCAATAGACCTCACATAACGTGCTCATTACAATACAACAATAAGAAACATACATTTTTAAATACAAAGCATACTTTTTTTTATACAAGACGTATCTTTTTTATACAGAACATCATTTTTAAATACAAAACATAGATCTACTTTTTTAAAATACAAAACATACATTTGTTTAACATACCAAAAAAACAACGAATAGTCCTGCAGCAAACAAAAACAAATCAAAACAAACAAACACAGTGCGTGCGACAAAGTGAGAAGGGAAAAAAAAAGAATCAATGTAAACTCGGTTATTATTTCTGCGGCAATAACCCCCACAAGTAATTCTAAACTCTTCGCACCGAACACTCAGTCTCTCGCAGTCTGTACTTGAAAGGTGTTGGTTTTCATAAGATTATTGGGGTTTTTGTCTCTTCCCGAGAGTGGAAGGAGCAGATATTGAAGTACTTACAGTATCTAGTTACATAGGTACAGGTGGGTGATCTTAATAGAGTCAACGCTTTTGTTTTGCCCCTGGGGCGATGAAAAAAAATTGTTTTCGCGCTTCGCTATCAGGGGTGAGGGAGAACACAAGTGTTATTATTATTGTTATTATTATTATTATTATTATTGTTATTATTATTATTATTATTATTATTGTTGTTATTATTATTATTATTATTATTATTATTATTACCATCATCATCATCATCAACAGCATCAGCATCATCATCATCATCATCATCATCATCGTCGTCGTCGTCGTCGTCGTTGTCGTCGTCATTATTATTAGTAGTAGTAGTAGTAGTAGTAGTAGTAGTAGTAGTAGTAGTAGTAGTAGTAGTGTTCTTGTTGTTGATATTGTTAAACTCACTTCGACGCATTCAACCAAAAAAGATTGGTCTGGGCCTAGATTACGTTTTGTCTTTAGCATTCAGTTTAACCTTTTCACTTAAAAAAAAAACAGTACACGTGAGAGAGCGGGAGGGGGGGGTGACAGGGGAGACATCGAGGTGTAAGTATGTGTGTATGCCTATATGTATACGTGTGTACGTGTGTGTGTGTGTGTAGGGGGGGGGGGGGGGGGCGCGCTTATGTGTGTGTCTGTGCGCGCGCGCGGGATAATAAAACAGAATCAAAGAAGGGGCCAAAATTTCTGTTCACTCTTTTCCTCGTAGTTTATGACAAGTGTTTTTAATAATAATAATAATGAAGATCTTTTCTATAGCGCCCATTCCCATGTAAACACAGCTCTAGGCGCTTTACATAAATGTATGTACGAACAATATTCACGCACGCAACACACACACACACACACACACACACACACACACACACACACACACACACACGTCATTTACATAACATAGTACTAAACATGAATCTACTGACATAAAAATGATGTCATTGAATGTGTCTTTATCGCGGTTTAATTCCCAAACTCAATGAATAAGTAAAGCTTTCTGTTATTCCCGTTCGCATACATGTACTTTACTACGGAGATGGCAAGGCACATTTTTAACATATAGATTTAGGTGTTTGAACTTCGTCAACTTTCTCCTCATATACTGACTTATTATGTTTTGACTCATCTTTGGCAGGTCAAAATCTGGTTCCAGAATCGCCGAGCCAGGGAGAGAAGAGACAAAGAGGCAACACAGCGAACCCACAACACAATGGTCCAGAAAGCCTTTCAGCCCCTGTCTATCCCCACTGTGGCTTGGCCCATGCCTTCTCCGATGACATCATCAAATTATGTGCAATACCAGCAGGTGCTTGAGTTCCGCCCCCACTGCCTCACGTCTGCCTTTGGCCTGTACAACGCCAACAGTGGAGACAAAGACAATACGGTGCTTTCTTGTAGAGGGGAAAGTCCGCCGAGTACCGTCAGCTGAACCCAAGTCCTGACTTTTGTGAAGCTTTACTAACTACTACTAGATTCTACCTGATCTCCTCACATCTATTTTAGATTATATTGCTTTTGTTTCGACCATTTGTGTTGTTCGGGTCTCTCAGGATGTTTTTATAATATGTTTTGATTACTTTCTTTTTCTTGGGGACGGGGGCGGGGGCGTTGTGTTTATTTGATAGTGACGTCATTTTTGTTGTCACATGATGTTTTTACTCGTTTTATCTTTATGTTTTGTTTTTGTTTATGCTACTTTTGTTGAAACTATTTTCTGTTTTCGTGTTTCTTATTGTATATTTTTAAAAATTGTTTCGTCCTTATTACATGAATTTTGCTTTCTTTTTGTTTCTGCTTGTATAGTGACTTCAGGCCTACCTATTCCGAGATTTGGCGGAAATTAAATAGAACTACTACTAGGCCTGTGAGACAGCCAGGCGGTGGCAAAAGAGGGCGTGGTCGTGAGCATGAGCAATCTAGACGAACAATGAAAAGGGTTCAGAAAGAGGTAAACGTATTTCATAAGGGAGTGCTTATTTAGGCCACATATGGCCTAAATAAGGTAAGGGAGGGGGGTTTAGCTTATTTAGGCCACAGTGGACTGTGGCCTAAATAAGGTAAGGGAGGGGGGTTTAGCTTATTTAGGCCACACATGCTCAAACTACCCTTTTCAGGCAACTGAGTTCGTTCCACTTTCATAATGGTGCACCTTTCTCATTTAGTACGGTTTTGTCTCAGTGTACAACTTATAAATCGTAACCATAATGAATATTGTAAAGAACAAAGCACAATACGCAAAATTTTGCTCAATCCCAATGGTTTGAATGAGGGCCAGATTTTTCCTTCATGGAGGGGCAAAAGCTAGGCTACCATTTTGGCACACTTTGGTCAAGTGAAAAGGTCAAATCCTCCGAATGGACTTCCGGGTTAAATTTGGGGTATAAAAAGAGTGTACACTACGTGGCTGAGTCAAAGTTACACTATCTTTGCCTGAGTGACACTCTCTCGTACTGTCTCGTAGTAGTACATGTAGGCTAGTAGGCCTAGTAGTAGTAGTAGCAAAGATCGTGTAGAGAATATTTGGTAGTAGATTCTATCTAGTAGGCAGTTTAGTGAACGTGCTCAGGGCGAATCGGCCTCGATAAGCCCCGTAGACTTTTGTGATCGGCCACGGAGCCTCGTGTTTTGATGGGTCTAGATCTAAACAACTCAGTGTTATTCGCACTGCCACATCCGACAGGCCTAGATCTACATCTTTTTAAAAGGAAAAGAAAGATCATCAAAATGGTTGAATTCGCGTGAAAATCGATTCGGTAGAACTAGAACTATTAAAATTTGCTTCTGAAAACAAGGCAATTTTTATATGAAGGCCATTTTTATAACTCGATGAAATAAAAACTACTGACTGTGTACTGTGTTATTTTGTATAAAAATAAATTATGAAACTTCAGGATGTATTATTATTTTCCAGCATCTTTTGACGCCTGAGCTGTAGAGGTTGAAGTTTTCACAACACTAATAGATTTAGTAATAGGGTTAGGTAATAGGGCTTTCCGTAAAAAATGCATATATCTACAAAAGCTGAACCACCGAATCGACCGGGCAACTCGCTCTCCCCTGCACACTGTGATAACGTGTTGCTGCGGTATCGCATTATTCAACTATTAATACGTGCGGCTATGGCAATTGGGATGTACTGACTGAAAAAAATTCAGTTTTGTTTTTATTTTACCATATATTTGACTTTAATAGTGCAGGCGATAGCAAGATCTAGATTCCCTGTCTAGAATCAGTAGTAACAGGCCTATGCTAGAAGCAGCCAGAGAGCCTACAACTGCTAGATCTAGATCTAACTTATTATTGCTATGCCTTTGGGCTTTGGGATTGAAATAAAACGAATTGCACAGTTCTAGTTACTTTTAGATTCAGCAAGTAACTGTATTTCTAGAGTCAATAATAACAAATCTCAGCATAACAATCACTTTTACTTGTATTAGAATAATTAGATCCAACTTTTTTTTCTAAAATCTGTTTTGCGCAAACTTAATATGTTCTCTACTTGTAGAGCACAGAATTTAGATCTACATTGTAAGCCTCTGCTCAGTCTTTTAGTATGCATAATAAAATACACACACACAAGCACACACACACACACACATATATATATATATATATATACATATATATATATATATATATATATATATATAGAGAGAGAGAGAGAGAGAGAGAGAGAGAGAGAGAGAGATCTATATAATCATTTTATGTTGATTTCGGGATATTTTTAAAACTCTTTTTTTCAACATGTCATAAAATCAAATTGTGCCATTTTCTTTGAAAAGAATAGCATTAGCAGTGGACTTTTTAGACAGCGAGTCTCTGATTCAATATTTTAGAAAAAATATGTTAATCAATGAAAATTGCAAATTGATAATAGTTTAGTCCTGTAGAGGATAGGTGGACTCTGGGGTCTGCAGAGCGAAATACTAGGTTTTAGGATGTGAAACCCGGAGTCACCATAGTGAAATAAGGTTTGGTTTAAGTAAGGATTGGTGGACCCCGGGGTCAACGTAGTGATAAATAAGCAGGTTTAAGGTGGTCTACCTAGCGAAATACTAGGTTTTAGGACAGGTGAACCCCGGGGTCACCGTAGTGAAACAAGTAGGTTTCTTTAAAGATTGGTGGACCCCGGGGTCAGCGTAGTGAAATAAGTAAGGTTAATTTTAAAAGGATTGGTGGACCCCAAAGTCACCATAACCGTAGAGGAATAAGAAGGTTTAATTAAGGATTGGTGGACCCCCGGGACACCTTGATTAAACCTACTTATTTTACTACGGTGACCGCAGGTTCCACCTATTCTAAAAACCTAACTAGTATTTCGTTAGGTAGACCCTGGGGTCCACCTTAAACCTACTTATTTCAATACGTTGACTCCAGGGTCCACCAATCCTTAAAATTAAACCTAGATCTACATGTACTTATTTCACTACATTGACCCCAGGGTCCACCAATCCTTAATTAAACCTAGATCTACTGATTTCACTACGTTGACCCCGGGGTCCACCAATCCTTAATTAAACCTATATCTACTTGTAATTTCGCTACGTTGACCAAGGGCTCCACCAGTCCTACTATAAAATAAACTGAGATCTACTTATTTCACTATGTTGACCCCGGGGTCCACCGATCCTTAGTTAAACCTAGATCTACTACTTATTTCACTACGCTGACTCCGGGGTTCACATCCTAAAACCTAGCATTTTGTTAGGTAGACCCCGGGGTCCACCTATCCTTTTGGCTAGATAGACCCCGTAGTCCGCCTATCCACTTTTTTAATAATAACTGAAAACAATACATGCCAGTTGTCATGAATAGTGAAGAAAATTGCGGGGGAAAAAAGACAATGAGGTAGACTATAATTTGTCCAAAAAATTGCAAGTGCAAGTGAAGATCATAAAATAATTTTGTTATTTTCTGGTCATCTTTCCCGGTTTATAAAAAGATTCCAGTGGGCCTACTACTAGATCTATGTATCTGAAGAACATTTTGCTTGCCTTTATTAGCTTTTTTCATGTACATGAAAGCATAGAATATATAGTTTCACACATATATATGCACAATACTTTGAAAAAGAAAGATAAGGTTATTGTTGTTTTGTTTTTTTACGGAATCCGTTTTACGTTGAGAAAAGCGGTAAAAACAAGTTTAAAAATTTTAAGAATGCCCATAATATTAGTATTAGGAATCCGAAATTACTACCTAGTTGGCTTACTCTTTAATAACCATGAGCAGTTAAGAAAAAAAAAGACAATGATATAGGATTTGTCTAAATATGACCATTAGCAATAAAGATGTTGCCCATTTTGTCCAATTATCCTTGCAGGTAAAATCACCCTGCACTGTACCTCAATAAGCACAAAAGGAATATTTCTGTGACTTTGTATAAAGGTGTGGCCTAAATAAGGTAAGGGAGGGGGGTTTAGCTTATTTAGGCCACAGGTGAGGCCTAAATAAGGTAAGGGAGGGGGGTTTAGCTTATTTAGGCCACAGGTGAGGCCTAAATAAGGTAAGGGAGGGGGGTTTAGCTTATTTAGGCCATATGTGGCCTAAATAAGGTCACCCATTTCATAATATCACAAAGAATCCTAAAGTGTTCATTGCCATTGGTAGCCACAGCATACACATATTTTTTTTAATTTAGCTTGAAAGTTCTACATTTACGTAAGCGGGGGGGGGGGGGGGGGGGGGGATCAAAATGATTATTACTGTAAGCCCCCCCCCCCCCCCCCCCAGGTAATGTTCAACGGGAAATGAAAAAAAAACACTTAAACTTTTGTATTCAACTGTCTCAGTCTGAAAGGGGAGGAATGTCATATGCGACACAAATGCATTATAACAAGCTATCATGTGTCAATTCCAAACCTAGCTGAAGAAGAAAAGAGAGTTACGTTTACCTGGATATAGCGTGATGCAGTGCTAAGAGGTCTGATCTGAATTAGGATTATATAGAACTGTACATTTTCATTCCTGATTGCATGACGAAAAGGGAAAATGTTTTGCTTTGTTTGTTTGTTTATTTGTTTACCTGTTTCGCGTAATCTAATTATTATAATGTTTCATTTTTTAAAAGTGAAGAACCATTATGCAGGTGGATCTAATCTTATATGTACCTCATTTTTTGCGTCTTGAGTCTTGAATTATTAAAATGGTACTCATACACTTTATCACGTGTCTAGTCCCTGAACTATGCTTTGCCTTTAAAAAAATACCTAAGCAGAAGCTGCATGAAATATGGTTCCCATATATATACCTGTAAATGAGATATTTCTAATCTCGGTGAACGATCCACGTTAAGAAGGCTTATCTCTGTCTAAAAACGTTCTTCAGAGATGCCCAATTAAGTGCTTAGTTCTTTCTTTTTTGTTGCTGTTGGTTGGTTTTTCTGTTTTTGATTTTGATTTGTTTTTGTTTTGGGGTGGGGGGGTGTTG